TCTCATCCGTGAATTAGGACAAAGCAGTAAAGGAATTAAAATAAATCAGAATAGAATTCACGGACATGAACCATAGGAGTATTCCAGTATCTCAGCCTTTCCCTCCTCTCCCCCAGACGGAAGTCTGTTGCCCACTGTTCTGTGGGAAATATAATCACTTTGCTTCTTAGAGTCAGGCTTGAATCAGGAAAATACTGTGCGGCGAACGTTTGTCCCTCTTTATGACATCCAATGTTTATTTTAAATGACTATTTATTAAGTGACCCTGACTTCCTGAGAGGTGTATTAGGTATTGCACATTTTTTCATTGTTGGTAAAAGTGTTTAAAAATCAGAGAGATTTCACTTGCCTTTCTTATGTAGTTTTTTTTTTCTGTGGAAAAATATACATAACAAAATGTATTCTTTTAACCATCTTTAATGTACAATTTAGTGGCATTAAGTGCATTTCACTTCCCTTTCAACATCATCTATTCTCTAATTATACTCAGACTATTAATACCTACATAATACCATACCCAAAGCTTTCGTGTTATTTTGCCTACAAAAAAAGTTCCTATGACAAAAATAAGATTGATGCTTTTTAAATCGAATTTATTGGGGTGACCCTGGTTTGCGAAACCATACGGGTTTCAAGTGTACAACTCAGTAAAACATCACCTGCGCGCTGCATGGTGCGCCCATCGCCCAAAACAAAGTCTTTCCGTTCCCATTTTCCTCCCTTTGCCCACTCCACCTACCCCACCCCCACCCCTTTCCCTCTGGCTATCACCACTCTTTTGTCTGTCTACGTGCTATATACATATGTTTTTGCTTAATCCCTTCACTTTTTTTTCATCCAGTCCCCCAACCCCTCTCCCCTCTGACAGCTGTCAATCTGTTCCATGTATCCATGCCTCAGTTTCTATTTTGTTCGTCGATTTATTTTGTTCATTAGATTCCACATATGAGTGAGATCATGGGGTATTTGTCTTTCTCTGACTGACTGATTTCACTTAGCATAATACTCTCCAGGTCCAAGGTTGATGCTTTTTGGAGATGCCCTGATTCTGACAGACTAATATGTTAGGTAGGAGTATCACATTTTTCACCAGAATGTTACATTTTCCCTATAGTCCCTTTAAGCTTATTTTAAATGGAGTCATTGTGGCTCCTCTTTTTATCTCCTGAACTATGTTATCATCTCAGCTGGGCCCAGAGCTAATGGTTCTCTGTAAATATCTGAAACTTCAGGCATGAGAAGGTATTTATTTCATAACAGTAATGAAAATGAAGAGTTTGGATAGTTTAATTTTCCTGAGAAAAAAAGAATGGTCAAAAATCATTCGTGAACTATTTTTATAGCACTTTGAACTTCAGGGCTTTATCAAATTCTTCCTAATGGCCTATTTTTCTCATGTATCATGAAGTTTTCCTTTCATAATATAACACTCGTGTAATACATTTATTCCTATGTGTAGCTTAGGAAATGGGAAGTATTGCCCGTTATTCTCCTCCTAAATATAGAAACTAACATATAAAAGGAGTCAAATAGGAAAATCACAATTAGAATCAGGAGTGAAATTAAATTATAATGAGATTAATGTTGAATTAATACTCTTTGTAGAGGCAGAGAAATACTGTTTAATCCCAAAGAAAAATTATCTCAAAATTCATTTTACCTCTTGTAAGATTTCCCGGGACTAGTATATTGTGGTTAATAAAACATAAAAATATTGTGTATCTTTCTTAAAATATGCAACAATGCTAATTAGCTATAGCAATGTACCTATATAATTTTCAAACCGCTTATAAAATAGCATGTAGCCTTTCCCTTATAATTTAAAACACTGAAATGTAACCAATATTGCAAAATTGCTTTTTGCCACTAGAGGGCAGAAAATGCTCCACATTTGTACTTAACTAATTCTAAATTCTTTGACCATTCTTTGATCAAAACAATAACCACCACCACAAGAAGTCTCTGAGATCCTCTGGTTATATTCTATACAATATACTGTACACTTAAGGCTCAGTTAACCACTTAAAAATTGTAAACTAACATACAATCACCTAAATTCAACGGTTTACAGAAGGCAACAGTAAACATCATTCTTGCAGCCTGCGTCTAGCTCTGAGGTAAGGGTTATTACCATCAAGGAATCAGTACACCCTCAGGAAAGGCAGAGCGCTCAAACAGCACAAAACACACTGTGATTGAGAATCAGTAATATTGTTTCTATGTTAAAATACCTGCAGTGAAATGCAAAGGTTGTTTTTATTATAAAACTAAAATAGTCACTCAAGTTACAAAGCAATAGAAGATTAAAATATTAACATTTGACTCTGTAATTTCCATGTGTGTCTTCTTTTGCCACAAACCAGCTGTAGATCTAACTGTGGCAATGATGTTTTTTGGTTTCCTCCTAATATCTTTTTGACCTAATTAACGTGTGTTCCCCTACCAGTTAAACCATTTGCATTTCAGTAGCTAAAGCATTACTTTGTTTGATTAGAAACCACAACCTCTTCCCTTTTCACTCTCCTTTATTAAAACACATCATGGTAAACTAAGCCATTTGGATTTCAGTCTGGATAGGTGTCATTTCAACCACTGCCCTTCAACCTTCTCTCTCTCTGTCAATCTTGGCCGCGTCCTACATCATAGGACAGCAAGAGGGCAAAGACGGCAGCCTGCGAGAGGAATGGAGCAGGCACGGAGCCGGGGTTATACATCACTGAAGTCAGCGACTTCTCTGATGCATGAGCCTTTCACTTGCCAATCAAACCTTCTGCAGGGTTATGTATGACCTTGCCCGAGACAATAAATCCCTTCTGAAGTCTTGGTTCTTAGCCTAAACAAACCCGCCTTCCCCGCTTTTCACTCTAATACTAATAAACACAGCACAGTGGGGCCGAAAAGCTGGGGGACTGGACAAGGTACCAGTGTCACGTCTGTTGGACTAAAGAAGCAATGCGCTTTTAAAACCAGGGCTAGCCATAGAAGAGAAAGGGTTCTGTATTATATTCCTATTGGTGGAGCTGGCAAGTTTGAAAGAAACTGATAACAATTACAGCTGCCATGTAGTAGACCTAACGTGAGCCAGGGAAAGGGTTTGAGCAAAGACTAGATGGTTACACGTCAGCAATATCACTGATGTCCTTTCTGCATGGACTGTGAAGCTGGACTCATTGACTCCACAAACCTTATCAGTCTGCATTTAAGATTAATTTTATGTTGAAGAGAAATACATGCACAAAGTTTAAAAAGTCAAAAGAACTCTACGGGGCTTATAATTAGGGTGACTGCATCCAGTTTTCCAGGAACATTTCTGATTTATGCTTATTTTCCGTGTAATTTTAATAGTGCCCCCTTTCACCCTCATGAGTGTCCCAGTCGGATGAAAAACTACTGTCTCAAGTCCAACCTCATCCCCGCCCCCCAGTTTCTATTCCCCCAACTACCCTGAATTCATTTAGAATTTTTCTATACGGCTTCAAATTTCTAAAACAAACAAAGAGCAAACAAAGAATGATTATACTACTTGTATCAGTTAAAAACTGCCTTTGAATTCAAAGGGAGAGGAAAGCATTGACTTAAACAAATAGAGATGCCTGGATGGTGCATTGTTTGAAGACTTATTCATCTAAAAGTGACTTTTCCTCTTTCACACTTTGCTGGGATTTCATATCCATCCAAATTCTCAACAAAGTGGGCCTGAATAAGATGTAAGTGCATATTGCAAAGTCAAAGGATAACTACTCAAAAATTTTTTTTAATATATTTTATTGATTTTTTACAGAGAGAAAGGGAGCGAGATAGTCAGAAACATCGATGAGAGAGAAACATCGATCAGCTGCCTCCTGCACATCCCCCATTGGGGATGTGCCCGCAACCCAGGCACATGCCCTTGACCGGAATCGAACCCGGGACCCTTCAGTCCGCAGGCCGACGCTCCATCCACTGAGCCAAACCGGTTTCGGCACTACTCAAAAATTTTAAAAAGAAGTATAATTGATATGTTAAGAGGAGACAAAATGGGATCACATAAAATGCTCAACTAAAACCAGACAAGGAAAAAGAGAGAGGAAGACAAAAGAAAAAGGAAAGACAATGAACAGAAAACAGTAAGAAATAAAATAGATACTACCCAAGTATGTAAACAATCACTTTAAATGCCAAAGGTCTAAATGTATAAGTTAAAGGACATGGGTTGTTATAAGGAATAAGAAAACCACACCCAAGTGTATTTTGTGTACAATAAACTAATTTGGAAGACATAATTATTTGGAAACTAAAGGGATGGAGAAAGATAGGCCATGCTACCACTAATTGAAAGACAACGCAGCCTTCAGAACAAGGAAAGTCATCAGTGGTTTCCAAAGGTTCAAGAGGAGAGGAGGGATGACTGGGTGGAGCACAGGAAATTTGAGGGGGCTGTACACTATTCTGTTTGATACTGAATACATGACATCATGTATCTGTCAGAGATCACAGAACTACACAACACAAAGGATGAGCCCTGATGTAAACTATGGACTTTAATTGATACGAATGTGCCAATGTTGGTTCATCAGTGGTAACAAATGCACCACACTAATGCAAGGTGCTAATGGTAAGCGACACTTTATGGGGCGTACATGTGAGCCCAGTGCCTGTACACGTGAGAACACGTTCTATTTCAGAGAACAGGTAGGAAAAATGGTTTTCTAGAACCTGCTAGATTCCCCTCCCCCAGCCCAACTGATCTGGCCTGGTTGCTAGGGACCTGTTTACTTAGGAATAGAACACTCTGTTGTGGTCAGGTATGGCACACAGGACACTGGCACTCAGACAGAGCTGAGCGCCCAACCAGTCATGGAGGGCCACCTGCCGGCCTGCATTCACCTTTCAGCTAGTCCTGCAGCACCTGTGCAGTGTTCTGCTGGTGATTCCTGAAAGCTTGGGACTGTCCCACGTGCCTACGCATTTCCCTGGAGGATCCTGGTATGTGCTGTGGTGGTGGTTTTGATAGTGAAGAAATGACACACTTTAAGAATTGTGAACAGGTGCTAACAGCAAGTGGATCTTGTCGCCTTTGGGGGCAGTCACTGTGCCCCCTCAAAGTGAATTGGAAGGTTCTACACTCCTGGTGGCCAGAGAGGGGCCTCCTAGGCAAGCACCTAATGGGAGTTTTGAGGAACACCCAGAGACCTTAGTACATGTTCACCCTGCAGAAAGAAAAAGAAAAAAAAGAATTGTGAAGGTGCTAGGAAAAAAGTGTTCTGACTTCGATGAAGTCTGTGAAAGGAACGGTGTAGTGAGAACAATGGACCAATGACACAAGCCAATGACTCTGTCAGGCCGTGTGGGGTGAAGATTTGCAACCTGTCTGAGAAGATGGAGGAACACATGAGCAAGAAATTATAGAAAGAAGACAATCTTCCATGCCAAAAAAAAAACAAACAAACAAACAAAAAAAAAACAAAAAAAAACTCAAGAAAACTGGAACACAGCCATGTCGACTGAAAATTCATTGAGTTAAGGAAAGAAAATGATTGCAACAGGCAAATGCTGGCCAAGGTTGAGTCCAAGTCCCAGCCTTTCCCAGATGGTCCTTTTTCTCCACAGAGGACCGAACGTGTCAGGGGATCCCCGGGATCATGAGCCCCCTGTCCCCCAGGAAGGAGGAGGCTTATGCAGTAAAAGCTCAAGAATCCAGGGTCACCTGCAGGTTTGACGCAGTTTCCACAGCAGCTGGGTCTTGAACACCCACAACCACAAGAAGACATCTGCATTGTTTTCTCTTTCGAGTAAGTTGGATTGACCTCTTCTTAGTTTAGCTACTGTTATTTAATTGATGCTACAAATCCTCTTACTCAACTAGATGTAGCATTATAATTTTAAGTTAGTATTTTAAAATAAAGATTCGTTTTTAAAATCCTATTGTGAAATGTCATGTATAATAAGGTAATAATTTGTAAGAGAAACTTGGACATGAAAGTTCGTGTATTGCCTATGGTTGCCTCCCACCGGCTCTAAATCTGGGGCCCTTACCAGTTAGACTCCAGGGGGTAGAGCAGCAGGTGGGAAAGCACATGTCCTGGAATCTAAGAGCTTTGAGAAACGGGGTTATTTATTTATTTTGGAAACCTTTTGAACTCTTGCATCATCACTTTTTTTCTATTCTACTGAATCACTCCCATTAGCAAACATTCTGCAATACCTCCCATTTTTTAAAAAGTCCTCCCTTGACCCCACATTAACTCCAGTTTCCGCCTGATTTCTCTGCTTCCATTCACAGAAAAATTCAAGAGTTGACTGTACTCACTATCTCTACTTCCCCTCCTTCCTTTTTCATTCCAACCAGGGTTAGGGTTAGGGTTAGAGTTAGGGTTAGGGTCAGGGTCAGGGTCAGGGTTAGAGTTAGGGTTAGAGTTAAGATTAGGGTTAGGGTTAGGGTTAGGGTTAGGGTTAGGGTTAGGGTTAGGGTTGGGGTCAGGGTCAGGGTGCTTGTAATGGGCTGAGCTGACAGGGTATCTGCTCGGAGAGAATGTAATGAGATCCTGAAAACGAGCGGCACGAAGGTTATAGGTGGACTCTTCTAGGAGAAACTGAACAGGCAGCCCTGGAAGGAGAGAGTGATGCCGCCGCCAGAGGGCGCCCTGCGGGGAGGCGCGGGGGCCGGGCGGGGGAGAGGCGGGGCCGGGCCAAGGGCTGGGGCAGCGGATGAGCCCTGATCAACTCGGGACTGGGCTTCGGGCCTCTCTCCTCACTTCCGGTTCCGCTTCCGCTTGTCCAGGTCCCGGAGCTCCGAGGCCGGCTCCCCGCCAAACCGGGACCAGCCGCCCGCCGACCCGCAAGAATGCGTTACCTAGTGCCGCGGTCACGGCCGCCGTCACAGGCGCCCCGACCCCGCCCCGGCCCGCTCAGTCCCTCTCCCTCTCCCGCACCTGCCCGCGAGCTCCCCGGGGCCGCAGGTGCGGGCCACGGCGGAATTCCACGCCCCGCGAGGCCCGCCAGCTCTGGGGAGGGACGGGGAGGCCGATGTCCCAGGTGCGTCCGAACCCGAGGCTGCGCTCGGCGGGGCGCTGCTGGCCGGGGGCGCGGCCTGGGCGCTCCTGGGGGTCCCCCTCCAAGCCCGAGGGCGGGGTGGGGTTCTCACCCTTTGGGGCCCCGCTCTGCAAAGGGCTTCCCTCGCTCAGGACACCCGAAGTCTTCGGAAGCACCGCTGTTGATCTGCTGAATAATGAGTCTCCCTGCTCCATTGGGGGGACCATGGTGGGCGCGTTGATCAGCCAAGTTCCTGAACGGTTACGGCTAAATGTGAGGCCAGAACTGAACGTCAGCCCATGTCCGCGAAGTGGAGCCCTTGTAGGACGGACCTACAGGGGTTCACTCTACTCAGGAACATCTTCCACTTTGCGGATCTGTTTCCGTTGAAATTCATCCCCATAGTAATGATTGATGTGCCACCGCAGGGTCCAGGGAGGGGCTGTCGGGAGGGAGGAAGCCCCTGGCTCCTCTGCAGCCTTGGGGCGGACAATTTAGCAAAGCCTGTTTCCTGCCGGCCCTGAGGGAGGGTCCCTGTGACAGCGACCGAGTCACCCGCTGCCAAGTCAAGTGTGCCCTCCTTCTCTTGCCCAGATTGTGCCTTTTTAGCCGGGAAGCATGGAGGTGATCCACCACCGGCCCTGCTGCTGCAGGGAGCGTGAAGGAGCGGACCTCCTGTCAGACACCTTTTACTCCAATGAAGTGCACACTCCGCTGCAAACAGCTCCTCGCCCAACTTCCTCAGAGGACAGGTACAACAAAAACTAGAGAAAGCAAAACAGTTTAAAAGGGTTTCAATATGTTTGTATATGTAAGAAAAAAAAAACACTTGTGGTTATGGGCTCTTCTGTTTATCACACGATTGGGAACGCATAACATGACAATTACCTAAACTTTAAAGTGCTCACATCTGGTAGGAACTTGATAAAAAGTAAGTTGGTGTGTATTTTTAAAAGGTAGACATCAAATTCATCCATTGCATTATAAAACTCTAGGATGATTGGTTCCTTCATTTGAAAATTAATCTGTTTCAAACAGTTTTATTCTATAACACAGTCGGGTTAAAAATACTCCCAGGAGCTTGTTCATTGTTACACCTAAATTTTTGCTTTACCAAATTTCCTGTAACACAATAACTGCAGATTATGATTGAAATTGCATTTACTGTATAATGAGTCATTACTATGTGTGGGCACTCTACTAAATGCTTTTTATGTAATAAGTAGAGGCCCAGTGCACAAATTCATGTACCAATGGGGTCCCTCGCCTAGCCTGCGGGATCAGGCCGAAACCAGCTCTCTGGTTTGTGAGAGGGCGCAGGCCAGGTCAAGGGACCCCACCAGTGCACAATTGGGGCCAGGGAGGGGCAGAGGGAGGGCTCTAGGGCGTGTCTGGCCCGTCTCTCGCTCAGTCCCTATTGGCCAAACTCCAGCAGCAAGCTAACCTACCAGTCGAAGCATCTGCCCCCTGGTGGTCAGTGCACATCATAGCGAGCGGTTGAGTGGCCTTAGCATATCATTAGCATATTACACTTGAACGGCCAACCGGTTGACCAGACACTGAGCATATTATGCTTTATTATATAGGATTCTTTGAATCCTCACAACAACCCTAAGATATAGTACTATTATGTATGAAGTAATAGGTAAAACAAATTCTCCAAGATCTTAGTGCCAGCTTTTCTGCATTGTATTTACTTGAATCATTTTGAATCATTTTGAGGGGGTGGGGGAATTTCACACTTGGATGGGTGAAAAACTAGCCCGTGTGGTTGTTTTGTTTGTTTTTATTTTTTAATTTCATTTCATTTAGAATTATTTCTTTAAGACCTCTTCATTTAAGAATTATTTCATTAAGAAATCAGACAGCAAGTCTGGAACATCACTACCTCACAGGAAGTCCATTTGGAATGTTTCTGATTATTAGATAATTTTCTTCCTACTGAGAAAATTCCCCCTCATAATTTCCACCTGCTGATCCTGGTTCTTCCCTCTGAAGCCATGTAAAATAAGAAAATCAGTCATCTCCATGATAGCAGCCCTTCAAGAATGTGAAGATTCTTTTGGCCCTCAATGAGTTCTCTTTGTCAGACTAAACACTGGCTCTCAACAGACTTGACTCTTCTTTCTTCTTCCATCTCAGCTTTCACCATCTTGATCTTGCATAGATCTGTTCCGGTCTGTAAACATGCTCTTTATATGAAAAGGAAAAAGAAGGCTTTTTTCCTAATTATAAAACTAACACCTTCCTTATGAATACTTTAGAAACCATGGAAATCCATAAAGAAAACAAATTTCCCATTGTTTGACAGAAAGAAAAATTATGTACTTCCTTTGTACAGAATACCTGTTCTTTATCTAGAATGACCACCGTTAACATCTCAACATGTATTCTCTCCATTTTTTTAAATTTAAAGATCATATTCAATGTGTTTTTTGTAAACTATTTTCACTGAATGAAAAGGAATATTGTCATATTTGTGGAGAGAGGGCTCAGCTCACTTCTCCTGAGTTAGTCCTTGCTGTACCTTCTTTTCTACTATTAACCTGATTCCAAAAAGCGGTTGTCAGCCCAAAATTCCTCTCAGCTCCAAGGGCCATCCGATTAGGCAGGGCTTCCCCTGAGTCAGGGAGAACCGTTAGCAGATCATGTGTGATCTGGGGATGAGCAGTTGGCTTAAAAGCAGCATTGTGAGGTTTTATACTTGGCCAAAAGGTTTCGGAGTAGGAATTTAGGTCTGCCCTATCTGATTGATCTTTATCCCCTCAAAAGCACTCTAAGGCTTTTCACTGAAATTTTGATCCCTTCTAGCTAAATGATCTTATGGTTGATTTATAATTGGCTCCAAAACCCTTTAACTGGCATGAAATGTAAGAGAAGCATCTTTAAGAAAGTAATTGCTTTTTGTTAACTGACTATAAAATAAACATATGTCCTAGGTATAAACATGTTCCTGGCTTCTGATTACTAAAACTTGCTTTCTCTTTTACTCCATGGACTTCTTTCCTTTCATGGTCCCTAAGTAGGAAAGTCGGGATGATCATATATTCTTAGAACCCCTCCTGTTAACTCCCTCTCAAGAATCAGCCAGGCAGCTTACAGAATGAGAAGTTGGCTTTTCTCTCCAGGTTGTCATTTGGAACTGCTCTGGAAAGTGTCATCAAGAGAACATTGATTGGTACCTCTGTTCTATCAATGCTGAGGCTTATTTCTTCAGACCAGGTTAAAGGTCAATAACTCCCAACTCAAATCTCAAAAGCAAAACAAAATGAAAAGCTCCTAGCTTCTAGAAATTACCCTTCATAATGGTAAGGATGAACATGAGTCCTAGCATATGTTAGCTCTCAGCAGCTTAATTTTCTAAACATGGATGTGCTTAAGGGGATGTCTTTTTTTTAATATCATAATGTATTTTGAACTCAGTTGGTAATTTTAACAGCAGTGCAAAATTATTTCCTCACATCAGCCTACTTCTTTTTTTTTCTTTCCAGAATAGGTAACGCAGTCTATCACCATTGTTACCCAATGGTATACAGACAGGGTACATCAAAATCACCTGAGAAGCTTTCTAAAAATGCAGATTCCTGGGCACTCTCTGTAGATGTTCTAGCTCAGTAAGCTTGAGGTGGGTCTAGGGAATCTGCATTGTCAGAGTTTTCCAGCTTTTTTGAGAACCATTGGGCTACTGGAAAGCCTGAAAACAGTAAGACAATCAGGATTATGGTTCTGGCTCACCCATTGTCTTAGGGCAACTTAATCTTTATTCTTCAGTTACGTTCTTCACTGGTAAATTTTGAAGCAATTACAGTAGTCATTAATACAGGGTAGGGCAAAAGTAGGCTTGTAGTTATTTGTATGGAAAATACTACAATAAATAATAAGTAATAATACAAGAAGAAGATGGTTTGCTTTTGCCTCACCCTGTATATATACTCAGTTGATTGCTTTTTAAAATATTAATAAATTGATGGTGTTCTTTTGTATTTCTTCCATTGAACATTTAAGAATGACAGGTACAGCTATTAAGAATCACAGATGTCTATGTCCTTTTTCCATTCTGTTGACATCTTCTGATCTCTAGCACAAGCATGTCAAACTCAAAGGCTAACACGGGCCAAATAAACAAGGTTTAAGTTTATGTGGGCTGCAAAAACACAAAAGCTTCAATTTTCATAGAAACATACATTTATTTCGATAGAGACACACTGAATACAAAGGGCTGAAATAAATGAGTAATCGTTAACATAAAATAATCGAACATTTTAATAAAAATTAACATTTTTTCTTGAACATTAATTTCCCAGACACTGAATAACTGTGCAAATTAATAAGTGTAACGCAAATAAACCTATTTTTCTTGTTCTCCGAAAGTGAAACATTTCCTGTTGCGCACACCAAACAAATCAGTACAAGACTAATGACGTAGCAATCGGCTGCTAAAATATTCGCTGCTAGTATTAGTGGAGAGAAATGGTGTGCCTGCATGTATGGCACGTAAGGGAAATGAATGCAACAGGATTATAGTAATCAGTATTAACAAACGTTGTAGTTCGTTATAAATAATTATGTATAACAGGATATTGTAAAAATTAAGTTATGAAATTTTTATTAAAACGTTTCTTACATACCGCTATGTTGGCTGGGCCGTAAAAGTATTCATTGTGGACCACATGCGGCCCACAGGCCGCAAGTTTGACATGCTTGCTCTAGCAAGTTGTCTTGTTCATTAGGGAGACAAACATATTAATTAAGGAAGTGCCTTGACAATTGCTTCAGATTTCATTATACGTTCCCATTTTGTTTCTGGATTCATTCCATTGCTTTCTGATTGCTAAATATTTTTTTGACTATTAGCACTCTGCCAACTAAAAATTAAAGTATCTTTGTTCTGAGCTTTCCTTTAATCATGCCTTCCAATAATCACTGCTGGCTAAATTAAGCCTCCCAAGATTGGAATGTAATGTTCAAAATTCTGGAAAGTGACATATTTGTGAGTATACTAAAAACAACCTAATTGTACGCTTTAAATGGATGAGTTATATGGCATGTGAGTTATAGCTCAATAAAAACTTTTAAAAGATGTAAGCATACATACTACAACTATTATTGAAGAAGAAAAAAACTACAGATAATCTATAAGCCCTCAAGAATTTAACCTTCCCTCAGCAGTCCAATGATGCCTAAATAACAGTCTCGATATCATAATCTGCCCAGCACTGAGAATTCTGTAATCTGAAAATATAATCTAAAAATAGTTTTGAAGCTTGTCTTAGCCATTTGGGCAGCTCTAACCAACTACCACAGACTAGGTAGCTGGGTAACTCGTAAACAACAAACGTATTTCTCACAGTTCTGGAGGCTGGACGTCTAGGATCGTGGCTCCGGCAGGCTCCTGTTCTGGTGAGAGCCTTCTCCCTGGTTCGTCGCTGGCACCTTCTTGCTGTATCTTCAGCTGGTGGCAAAGCCAGCAAGCTCTCTGGGTCTCTTCTGTAAGAGTGTTAGTCCCATTCATGAGGGCTTCGCCTTCCTGACCTAGCCACCTCCTAAAGGCCCCACCTCCTGAATATCATCACAGTGGGCATTAGGATTTCAACATAAAAATTTGGGGGGACAAACATTCAGACCATAGTATTCCATACTGAAGCTATTTTAAAAGTCTCTCTTTTCTCACAGGTATCAGGAATTGAAGGAGTCGCTCCAACAATGCAGGCTTCCATGGGGTGCTGACAAGGAATATGGTGGGATGGTACCCATTTCACTCCCTGAGGAACACAGGCCAAAATGTGACCCTCTCCATGCCATGGGCAAGGGACATCAGCACTATGGATATGGTGGAGATACCTGGCCAAGGTAAGTAATCCTTCTGCCTTTCACACAGAGGTATTTATTATTCATTTTTATTTCTATTGTGAGTCCTTTCTCATTTAAATCTGCCTCCAAACTTATTTCTTTGACTATTTATAAGAAGACACAGATGGAAAAACTAATTATATAATATCTAATTGTGAAGTCAGTAAAAAAAAAAAAATCTGTGTTTATGGATATCTGCTGTCCTTAGAGATGTTCAAGTGTTATTATCAGAAATTTTGATTATTAATTTAATTCCCTTTCTAATCTCATTTTATCTAAAACTAAATGGGAATATCCTGAGAGATTTAATTAAAAATGTTTTTGCTTGAGCAAATAGCTGGCCTAATGTGTACAGATGTTCTTGAATTTTTGGAACTTTTGATTTCTAATTTGTTCATGAATCTGTAGTTATTAGAATCTATTGGGCATTGTTTTCAGTTATTAAAATATCTCAATAATCATTTATAAATCTTAAAGTCACTCAGTAACTTTATTTAAAACAGGTTAAAACTGAAGAGAAAGCAAAGATAAATCTGAGCAGTAAATATAATGTCACATGAATTATTTGCTAAAAATTATGAAATTTATTTTTTAAAATCCATTTAATAAAAAAATCCATTTTTTATTAAAAATTTATTTATTAAAATAAAATCCATCAAACTTTCACACACAGCTTACTTACTCCTGCTTTCTCTAGCAATCTTGGTTACCTAGTTTACTAATAATCTAACTAGCTTGTTGTTCTAAAGCAGTTAAAAGAAATTAGGAAAGACAAGTCAAAGCTAGAGAGAGAAACAGTAACAACAGGAACATGTGGCAGCCAATGACCGTTTCAAAGCCTAAGTAAAGCAGTAAAAAGCAGACAAATGAAAATGTGCTCACCGTCTCATCAGTTCCTGCATCCAGCTCCAAGTCTAGGATCTCTGTGTACATTCACTCCTGTCTAGTTCGGTCATAATCTTGTCATGACAGTCCACATGGATGCACTTAATAAACCTATCACCAACACACCCTATATGAAATAATAAGGAAAAGTAAAAGTTAATGCATAAAAGTATATAGGACACAACAAGGAAGAAAATATGGGATGTGACTAGACCTTATTTCTACTGGCATGAGGCTCTTATGTTATAATTTCCTTCCTCCACTACCCATTCCAAGTTCCCTTGCCCTCAGCCAGTACATGAGCTGGTAGTTCATTACCTGATGGAACAACCCCAAATTCTGTTCCTGGGAGATCTAAGCTCTTAGTGTGAGGCTGCTACAGTATTCCATTGCCACTGGAAGCAATCCTAGGAGGTGTCAAAAGCTTATTTAGGTTCCAGAAATACTCCTTTCCCCCATTCATTGTATAGCAGCAGTCCTCTTGTCCTTGATGTTAAGGATCAATCATCCCAGCCTACTTGGTACAGTCCTTTCTTGCCTGTTTTCTCCAGAGTCAAAAGGAGCCCCAATTACCTCAGCATCCCTTCAACTTCCAGTTCAACGGGACCGTTGTTGTGTTCTCTTGATGGAAGCACTGCTCTCTCGACCTCTAGACCAGCATAGCCCCAGGGGTGGGCAGGAAGTAAAAGTTAGTTCTCAAGTGTAACAGGAAGAAAACAGTCAGAGGCAGTCTCCCACTTACACCCTGTGCTTTTTAGGCCAGGCATTCTGTCGTTGGGGGAAACTATTGGTCAGTAGTTCAGTGCATGTGCCACACTCCAGGACAACACTCAGCCATAACCGAATCTTCAATAGGCTATTCTACCATTCTGCAAATCTGGTAAGACCATTGCACCTTTTAAATTCAACCCTTGCCTCTCTGGCAGGTGTGGCTAGGTTGGCGCTTCCTCCCATACACTGAAGGGTCACGGGTTCAATTCCTGCTCAGGGCACAGGCCCAGGTTGTGGGTTTGATCCCCAGTCAGGGTACATGTGGAAGACAACTAATTGATGTTTTCGACTTTTAAAAGAAAAATCGTATCTAAAATGTTTTTCTACCACCAAGAAAAAAAATACATTCTTGTCTATTTTATTTTAATATTTGTATGTATTTCTCTCAATTCCTTTGATTTTTAACCATCAGAAGTTATCTTTTTGAGTAGTGTGAAATACTATTCAGTTATGGCTGAGTGTTGTCCTAAAGAGTGTGGCATGTGCTCTGAACCAATTACCAATAAGTAGTTTCCCCAAAGATAGGATGCCTGCTCTAAAAACGTCCTCTCAACTCTGCTGTGAACCTAAAACTGCTCTGGAAAAAAAAAATCTTTTTTAAAAATCTAAAAGGCCCACCCCACCAATCTCAGTCTCTTTCCTGGAGAGAATTGCAGTCACCACTACCCTGTATCTCCTTTCACACCTTTAGTTACAGAATTATATGGGCACCCATTGAAAATAATATGGTATTATTTTATACTAGAGGCCTGGTGCACAAAAATTTGTGCACTCGCGGTGGTCCCTCAAGCCGGTGTGTGCCCTCTCGCAGTCTGGGACCCCTTGGTGGATGACCACCTGCTGGCTTAGGCCCGCTCCCCAGGGGATTGGGCCTAAGCTGGCAGTCAGACATCCCTCTGGCAGCCCGGGAGCCCTCGGGGGATGTCCACTTGCCAGCAGGGAGCAGGCCTAAGCTGCAGTTGGATATCCTTAGCGCTGCTGAGGAGGCAGGAGAGGCTCCCACCACGACCGCTGTACTGGCAGCCATCAGCCTGGCTTGTGGCTGAGCAGAGCTCCCCCTGTGGGAGCGCACTGACCACCAGGGGGCAGCTCCTGCATTGAGCGTCTGCCCCCTGGTGGTCAGTGTGTGTCATAGTGACCAGTCATTCTGCTATTAGGGTCAATTTGCATATTACCCTTTTATTATATAGGATGTGGATACATTTGATATATAGTATTAGGCAAGTTAGTTCTTTTTATCTTTTTAATTTCTCAGTGTTCCACAACATGGATACATCATAGATTACTTAACCATTCTCGTAATTTTTTTGCATTAACTATAAGTAATAAATATGTTTGTACAGAAACGTTTCTCTAGGGAAAATCCAAAGTGGAAGTTTGGGGTCACAATATATAAATATTTTTAATTTTAGTAGATAGAGCCCAAGTGCTTTATATTCTCTTGGTAGTAGCTAAAAGTATCCATTTCTCCACACTCAAAACCCAACTGTATTATAGTATCAAACTGTATAACCCCCCCAACCGGTAAATAATATCTTGGTTATCGAATGCATTCTCAGATTAGGTTGAGAAATTTTGTTCTTAGGTATAGCCATTACATTTCCTTTTCTATCTATCTTATTTTTCTCCATTTTTATAGTTTGTCTTTTAGCTATAGATTTTATTAGTTCTTTATGTTCTGGATATTAATCCTTTACATATCTTTATTGCAAGTATTTCTTCCAACCTATGTTTTGTTTTGTATTTTAAATACGTTTTTATTAATTTTTAGAGAGAGAGGAAGGAAGAGGGAAAGAGAGAGAAACATTGCTCAGCTGCCTCCTGCATGCCCCCTACCAAGGATGGAGCCTGCAACCCAGGCATGTGCCCTGACAGAGAATTGAACTGGTGACCTCTCAGGGCACACCAGCCAGGGCTCCAGTCTGTTTTATTTGAACTTTTTATGCTGTCCTGACTTCACGTTTTTCATTTGATGTTATTGTATTTACTTTTGGGTTTTGACTTTTAAAATAAAAATATTATTTAAAATGTTTTTCCTATCACCAAGGAAAAATGCATTCTTGTATATTTTATTTTAATAATTGTATGTAGTCCCTAGTTATTTAGATTTTGAATCCATCTGAAACTATCTTTGTGAGTAGTATGAAATATAAATCTATTTTTTCCAAATAGCTATTGAATTTTTCCTGCATTGTATATTGAAAGTAAATCCTCCTCCACTGATATAAAATGCCTCCATTTTTCCCAGCCCGAGTTGCTCAGTTGGTTGAGCATCTGCCTGTGTACCAAAAGGTTGCTGGTCCGATTCCTGATCAGGGCACATACCTGGGCTGTGGGTTCAATCCCCACTTGGAGTGTATATGGAAGGCAAAGGATCAATGTTTCTCACATCAATGTTCTCTCTCTCTAAGCATGTCCTCAGGTGAAGATTAAATAATAAAATAAAATGCCACCTTTTCATATACTGAATTTCCCAATACACATGGTTGTATTAGTCTATTTGCTATTTGCCTTTCCCTGTCTCACTGTTACACTGTGTTAATTTGAAAAAGTGTTCAATTTAATTTCTTCTTTCTTTTCAGAAGGCTTCCTATTGAACAGTTCTATTATTTGACACAGAACAAAAAAAGTGACATCTATGGAAATGATTCTTTGTAAGTTCGGGGTTTCTTTTTCTTATGTTAGATCAAATAACATTTTTTATATTTGTATTGAATTCATAGATGAAGGAAGAGGGAGGAAGAAATAGAAACATCAATGATAGAGGAACAATGATCAGCTGCCTCTTGCACACCCCCTGCTGGGGATGGAGCCCGCAACCAGGTCATGTGCCCTGACAGAGAATCAAACCCTGACCTCCTGGTTCATAGGTCATCACTCAACCACTGAGCCACACCAGCAAGGCCAAATAACATTTTTTAAGTGAAAATGAGTTATATGATAAATGTTTTTTAAAAAACCAAAATAGGAACTTTTAGAAAATACAAGTGTTCCTTTTTTTATAGAGATCATTAATAATAGAAACCAAGACCAAACAAATGACAAAAATAAAACAAATAATCCTAAACTCACTGATTCTAATATTTAAACAAGTGAGGAAAAAGTAGGAAATATAAATTAGATTATAATGTTCGAAGGGATTTAAATAGGCCACTTTGGTCCATTTCCCTGCTTTTGACCTAGTTACTCAATCTAATATTTACATATCTTTAAAGGTTCACAGAAAATGCTAAGTGCCCTCAACAAAAATTTTAATTGGAATTTTATGAGACATTCATTATTATAATCTACAAATAACTCTTAAAAAGACTATTCCCTAAGTCTCTTTTGGATAAGGAATACATGGTAATTATTTTTTACTCTTTGAAATAGTTGGTGGTATACAATACAAAATCATACTTTTTAATTTTCAGATAAAAATAAAACACTGACAATATTGAAGTAACTGAAAATATCCCTTCTTTGCCTTTAACAAATTATGAATTCATTTCTGAGTAAGAAGTTAATATAGAGTTTAGCCACAAGAGGGAGCCAAAAAGACATATTTGTGGTTAGTAGGCCCTGTTTATCCCTTTGGGATTAGTTAACTTTGAAAAGTAGGTAAGAGTATGACTGGTTCAGGTCAAGGAATTGGTGTCTCTGAGCATATTTTCTTTTCATTCATTTTATCTTCTTTTTTTTAATATATTTCTATTGATTTCAGAGAGGAAGGGAGAAGGAGAGAAACATCAATGATGAGAGAGAATCACTGATTGGCTGCCTCCTGCATGCCCCCTACTGGGGATCGAGCCTGCAACCTGGGCATGTGCCCTTGACCGAAATCGAACCCAGGACCCTTCAGTCCCCAGGCCGATGCTCTATCCACTGAGCCAAACCAGCTAGGGCTCATTCACTTTATTTTCAAACTTTGAGGATTGTCTTTAGAAGCTTTCCTTTTTCTTTAAAAAAAATTTCCATTTTGAATCAAATCAATTTTAGGCACACATTTGTCAATGCCATCACTAAATGTGTCACATGAGAAAATTTTTAGATGCTGACAATGTTTCACAAATAATAGCCAATCTACTAACTCTAGATCCCTTCGATTGTTATATTCATTGCCCCCTGTTCCCCAACTCAACCAGAAATATAACCGGAAGACAAGACATGTATTTTTTTTTTAAGTTCCAAACCCACAAACTTAGAGTCTAAATAAAGAAGGGCATAAACATGTTATAGCTCATATGAATCATGTATTTATAATATAGACTAATAAAATTATATGGCTAATATACCATTTCCTAAATAGAAAAACATAAAAAATTAAAAGAATATACTCAATTTTACTGATATTTACTATCAACTGATTAACATTCTGTTCATTTTTTACACCTGAAATATTTAGAAATATTTGTATAGTTAGAAACTAATTGTTAGACCCAATGAAAATGGATGACAATCTTTGCCTAGTGTGGACTTTGTTCCTGGGCTGCACTATTACTTCTTGGCACGCAGGGCTCAGCATATTTAGTGAGTACACAAACTTCAGATGAACTTGTTCAGAAAAGGCGTACCTTCAGTACCTTGTTCAGTTTTGTTCTAGCCTCTCTGTCAATGGAGAGATCAGCAATCCTGGGCAAAAGGACAAAGCACACAGTACTCAGGTCACTTTAGGTCGTGTAATTGTACCACATGCACACTGGCAGGCTGCTACCGCTTGACTATGAGGGTGAATGTCAATAAGAACAGAGCTCTGTTATCATTACAAGTAGCAATCCTACCTGCACTGCAAGTAAGAAATGCACAACGGGTGTTTAGTAGGACTGAAATTAGAGTAACAGAATGGTAAAAAAATGATCAATAGACAACTGAGATAGGATGACATCATATCTCTCTGGTTAGCTATTCATTGTTCCAGAAAGTCAATCAGGATATTATGAAGTCAATATTATATAAAAGACACTATAGCTGGAAAATTGGATACTTCTTTATTCTTAAGCAAGTTTCTAATAGAAATGTAAACTTTAAAAAGTCCTTAATATAAATTAGGATTCGTTTCCTGTTTTTATTCTAGGTTGCCCAAACCACCTAATTCAGCAGTAGGGTAAGTATACACTTGTATTTCCCTTCCCTGTTCTTTTGTTTTTTTAATGTATTGATTCTAGAGAAACATGATTTCTTGTTCCACTTATTTATGCACTCATTGGTTGCTTCTTGTATATGCCCTGCCCAGGGATCAAACCCGCAACCCTGGCATATTGGGATGGTGCTCTAACCATTTGAGATACCCAGCCAGGTCCTTCTCTGTTCTAATCAAGGAAAAAATGTATTGGTGATTCAAAGGTCTTAGGGTGGGGACACATGAGACTTTTCATGAATGTGGGAGAGGCTGATACAGGTCCAAAGTTAGAGTATCATTGATTTCCCCCAATTATATGCCCTGCTAATCTTTTTTTTAAACAAACTTTTTTAGTACAGTTTTATATTTACAAAATTATTGGGAAACAGTAGAGTTCCTATATACCTCACACCCAGTTTCTCCTGTTATTAGCATCTTACATTAGTATGGTACATATGTCACAATGAATGAGCCAAATATAAAGTCCATACTTTACTCAGATTTCCTCAGTTTTTCCCATAAGGTCCTTTTTGTGTTCCAGGATCCCATCCAAGAATTTGGTAGTCTCCTTAGTTCCTTAGGTTCCTTTTGGCTGTGACCATTTCACAGTTTTTTTTATGGTCTACACACTTTTGAGGATTACAGGTCACATGCTTTGCAGAATGTCCCCAAGTTGGGATTTGTCTGGTGTTTTTCTCATAATTGGACTCAGCTAGTGTGTTTGGGGACGGAAGAGCTAAAGTGCCATTTTTATCACATCCTATCAAGAGTACATGCTATTTGAAATTTTTTTTTAAATTTTGTTTTATTGCTTAAAGTATTACAAAGAGTATTACATATGTCTCCTTTTTTTTTTCCCCTTGACCATCCCCTGGCCTCCCCTACCCCCCAGTGTCTTGCATCCATTGGTTATGCTTACATGCATGCATACAAGTCCTTCGGTTGATCTCTTACCGCCCCCCTCCAACCCTCCCCGGCTTTCCCACTGTAGTTTGACAATCTGTTCAATGCTGCTCTGCCTCTGTATCTATTTTTGTTCATCAGTTTATAATGGTCTTAATTATCCATAAATGAGTGAGATCATGTGGTATTTTTCTTTCATTGACTGGCGCTATTTGAAATTTTTTTAATTATTTAAAAGAGTACATGCTATCAACATAACTTACCACTGTTGATGTTGACCTTGATTACCTGGCTGAGGTAATGTTTACCAGGTCTCCCCATTGTACAGTTACTCGTTTTCTCCCCTTTCCATACTGTACTCTTTAGAAGAAAGTCATTCTAGACAGCCTACACTTAGAGATCTAGAATTATGCTCCCCCTCCTTGAGGAAAACGTACTTACATAACTTACTGGCATTGTTCTACCCCATTATTTATTTATGATCCGCTTATATCAATATGGACTCAAGGATACTCATGTTGTACTTTGGTACTTTAGTAGTAACCCTGTACTACTTTACTTGTTCTGTTACTCAGGTTGACCACTGGGAGCTCTCTCAGTTGGCTCCTATATCCACATACCCATCCGTGTGGTGTCCTTCTGACATGTTTGTTTGTTTGTTTGTTTGTTTAGTACTATATCACTTACTGTTGTGAGGGTTTTATTTTCCTTTGAACAGTTCCTTACTTTCTTGCGTACAAGACGCTACACACTCATATATTTCCTGCCCCAGTCCTAGAGTCAGCCATTTCTCCAAGGAGCCCAGTTCCTTCTATGGGAGAATGGTATTAGAAAACAGGATCTAAACACTAGGTGTGCTTGATGCTACTAAAGTACCTGTCAGTCTTAACTGAAAATAATAAGGTAACATTTTAAAATTATGTTACAGGGTAAGATCTGCTCAAAAGGCTATTAAAATTTATCCCTAGCCAGTTTGGTGCAGTGGATAGAGCATCAGCCCATGAACTAAAGGGTCCCAGGTTCGATTCTAATCAAGGGCACATACCTTGGTTGCAGGTTTCCCAGACCTGGTTGAGGTGCATGCAGGAGGCAATCGATCAATGTCTCTCTCTCATGTCGATGTTTCTCTCTGTCTCTCCCTCTCCCTTCCACTCTCTAAAAATCAGTGGAAAAATATCCTTTGGTGAAGATTAACAACAACAACAAAAAGGCAAAAGAAATTTTTAAATCTTAGTTGTTTTGGGGTTTTAAAAAACACAACTATGTGAAGACCTTTGTTTTGGACTTCCCAAATTCTCTTAATAGAAATATGAAAAGTAAAGCCCTTTTTGTTGGGTTCTTTTTCTCAGATCACCTGTCTGCTTGTAGCCTGATAAATTCCAAAGTCTCTTCCTTTGACATGGTCCTCAAACATCCCCAGGAAAGAGCTGTTATCATCTTGTTAAACATCTTGGTAAATCTTGCTCAGACAGCCCATGCCTCTAACTGAACGATGTATACAAACCAAATTCCTTTATTTAAATGCCTGTGAGGTTAAGTGAATGATGTTCTGCCTTTTCTTATCATTTCTTTTCTATTTAGGGACTCAAGACACAAAATGAAAGTAACCTTTATAAATCATTTAATATAACCAGGAACATAATATTTTCTGCAAAATATATTATTCCTTAAAGGAATAAAAATACATTCTGGTCATTTAATACTGTTGTATTCAAAACCTGAGTAGGATAAAACCTGAAAATTTAGTGGAAGGTATAATTTTGCAATGTTTTTTAACAAACAAATATAACCTTTGCAATATATTGAATGAAATCTCATAACATACATAGACTCACAGTATACAGAGTCCATAGTTTTCAGGTCTTAGAATAAGTAACATCTTCCTGAATCATTACTAGATATAACTTAATACTATTTGCTAGGAAATACACATTTCTAGAATCTAAAGGGGAAAAAATTTCTGCCCTGCCTTCCTAACCCCCACCTTTTACCCCTTCATGAAGCCAAAATCCTGGCCACTGACAAAACCAGAAGATTCTGAGAACTACACACACATTTTGCAAATTTACTTCCTATCAAGGAGACCACTCCCCAGAAATGGTTTATGGAATTCATGTAGTTCTTTTGTTGTAATTTAACATGTTCTTGGCCCTTAAAACTTACTTTCTAAAGTAATGAGTAATCTCTACTTTTTTAAAAATAAATTTGTATTGATTTCAGAGAGGAAGGGGGAGATAGATAGATAGATAAATAGATAGATAGATAGATAGATAGATAGATAGATAGATAGATAGATTGATAGATAGATAATGATGAGAGAGAAAATCATCAATCAACTGCCTTCTGCAAGCTGAGGATCGAGCCCACAACCTGGGCACATATCCTGACCAGGAATCGAACAATGACCTCCTGGTTCATAGGTCGACGCCCGACCACTGTGCTACACCAGCCAGCCAGAACATGGGTTTTGTACTAGACCACAGCAAACACCATCCTTTCCTGATTCAAGTAGATCGGACACTCTCCATGAGCACGGATGTGTGCATTCCTACTTTATTCACACAGTTTGCTCAAACTATAAATGCTTATTTTCAAGTAGATTTAAAGAGGAAATTAATTTATGGGAATGGTTTACTATGGAATCCACAGAATTGGACACTGGAAATTTTTATTTATAACAAATGTGTAGTATATAAAATGAAATAGTCAGTATTGCTTCATTGAAAGAGCAGTTACTACACTAATTGTCATGACTCAGGAATGTCAGTCATTTGGAATTTAGGAATGCCCTGATTCTCTTCTCATATCATTAGAGTTGGCAACCTTGTGTCCTGTGTAGTAGTTGATGTGGCACTTTTTAAGCAAAGTAAGTAAACTGAAAAAGGTTTTAATGATCAGCAATAAAATAATGCTATACCCAATTCAAAAATAGGTTCAGGTGAGAGAGTTTGTGACAAGGGCAAGAAAACCTAATTCCTTTACAAACAAAAAAAGAGCTGACTGGCCTCCTAAATGACTTTTGCCTGGAGTCCAGATTTTTTGTCTTACAAAAATATTTTATTGATTGACTGATTGATTGACTGACTTGAGGGAAGGAGAAAGAGAGAAACATCGATCATTGTTCCACCTATTTTGCAACCACTGGTTGATTCTCGTATGTGCCCTGACTCGGGATTGAACCTGCAATCTTGGGATGGTACAGAATCTGCCATAAAGAAGGTCCCAATAAATATTTAGTGATTAATTTTTAAAACTGCACCTATTCTGTTTTGTTTTGTTTGCTCAACTAAATCTCAGTGAAATCTGCTCCCCGTATCCAGTTGAACATCCCTACCACACACACATCTGTCGCGGTGCCATGTTCCCAACCTTCACATCACCTAAGGATCGCTACACTGGCATTAACGCCCGAGGCCAACAGCCATTTCCCCCAACTGTGCCAACGAAGCCTTATGATACACTGATTTTGAAGACAAAAGGTAAGATGTAATTTAAAATCAGAACACGGTTAATTTTTCTTATATTTGGAGTTTATTCAATAATAAAATTAAAGAAAGAAGGGCAAAGGATTCAAGTCACAAAAGTATGACCATCAGAAAGTTGTTCTCAACTGTGGCTGCACTTCAGAATCAGCGGGGGCCTCGCCACAGACCAGTTAAATCAGAATCTCTGCAGGTGCCCTTACCTTTTCTTCTTTCTACAGAACCTCCCATGGCAGAGTCAGAAACATTGTAGAACTGGTTGTTTATAGTCTACTTATATTTTGTTTTTATTTCCTTTTTGCTCTCTCCTATGGTTTAGCTTTTTAAAATTCCATCTTCAGGTCATCAGCACAAGAAACAGTGGTGGGTTCAGAGCATTATGGATGTAGCAGCCGTGATGAAAGTGAAAGATCCTCATTGAAATAGGACTCAGAAAGTGATGGGAGCAGTTTGTTCAGTTCCTTTTAACACCTGGGAGCATTTTATCACAGATGCAAACATTGGGGTCTTCCCAGATTAGTTTTATTATAGAGGATGCTAAACCCATACACTAGTCTTCAAGTCTGTCCCACACTAGACACCTCAAAACAGAGAAGAAACCTACGGCAAAAGACTGAAGGTAACTGAAGGTGACAGAAGAGGTACACGGTAGGCAGAGATAAATACTTGTTGAATGAATGTGGGCTGTGAGGAAGGTAAGACCCAAGAACTGTCCTGTAACTCAGGTCCTCTGTACATGAATAATTGAACCCAAACATAAGAATAGGTCCTGCCATTACTATCAACCTCAGTACCTTACAGGGGTCAGTAACATTTTGAGAAATATTACAGTGGAATGTTTAACAGCACGGACTATGGAGTCAGACTGCAGGGGTTGAATTCTGGCTATGCCACTTACTCACCATAGACCATGGGAAAGTTTCCTCACTTCTGTGCCTCCACTTCTCAATCTATAAAACAGGAATATTAGTACCTACTTCATAGGTAATAGAGATAAGTGTTAGCAGTCACTATTTTTGTTACTCAGTTACCTGCTGTCAACCATGGTCTGAAAATATTAAATGGAAAATTCCAAAAATAAACAGTTTATAAGTTTGAAACTGCATGCCATTAAGTAGGGTGATGAACTCTCCCAATGTCCCACTCTGTGCCACCCTGACATAAATCATCCCTTTGTCCTGCGTGTCCATGCTGTATGGTACTACCCATTCATTAGTCACTTAGAGGCATCTGCGTTATCAGCCTGAAAAAACATAGTATAGAGAGAGTTCAGTACTATCCTCAGTCTCAAATATCCCCTGCGGATAAGGGGAGAACACGGTACCACCAATACCTAGGAAGCTGTATTGTTTAAGATGTTCTCTTTCAATACCTTTTTGGTAATCAAGTACTACATTTCTTGATATTTAGGCAGGGAAAAGCCAAAACAGGTAGTTTAGAATTATATTTGCTAAACTAGAAAGAGGATCCAGGAAGATTTATAATTTACCTAATTCATTAACAAAGAAAGGTAAAGTACGATTCCCCCTCCTACCACTGGGAGCACTGTGGTTAGAGAGTCATTCTCAGTCTTTGTGGCCCATACGCTGTGTATTAAGGGGGGAGGAGGTCAAGAAGTCAAAGCAAGCTGTAACTATATAGCTAAAATGTGCACCTGCATTTCTCTCTACCTCATATTGTCTTGTTTCTATTTACTGCACCCATAAATCCCATGAATTAGAAGATTGTTCTTATATATTCAGGATAACAGTGCTTGCCCTAAAAATTCCAGGTAATCCTTACAGACATGAACTGCTTGATATTCCCATGGATTCAAAGAAGAAAGCCTTGATGTGGCCAGGTCAGGGTGTGTATTATGACGTAAGTATTTTTAATGTGTGTTTAAAACAAAGTAAAAAATGTTTTTACTCTATATGTTTCTCAGAGTCCAAAAGATTGATTACTTTTATATTCTATCTGGGTGAAAATTTTGAGAGTTTGACCAGGATTCACATTTTTTGTTGTCGTTTTCTTAGCTGATTTCAGATAGTTTGGGCAGTTCTGTAACAATTCCACAATTACCAAAATAAGGTTCCTCCTGAAAGAAGGTGGAAGAGGACTGTATTTCAGTTACTGTGTGTCCCCCAACTCTATTCTTATGATTTAAACTATATTAAGTAACTCTAAATATGCATAGAGTAAATGAGAGATTTTAAGCAAGATTTACAATTTACTGTACAAACCATTATATTTGTGTAGAATCAAAAAGAAATTAGCCCTAGCCAGTTTTGCTCAGTGGATAGAGCACCAGCCTGAGGACTGAAGGGTCCCAGGTTCAATTCCAGTCAAGCGCACATGCCCGGGTAATGGACTCAATCCCCAATAGGGGGCGTACAGGAGGCAGCCGATAGATGATTCTCTCTCATTATTGATGTTTCTTTCTCTCTCCCCCTCTCCCTTCCTCTCTGAAATCAATAAAAATATATTTTAAAAATAAAATAAAAACAATTGCCACTGTTTATTGAGATAGTGAATCAGCTCTTATTCTACTAGATGACATCAATTGTAATAATCTTTTATGTTCATATTCTAGTTTCCTAAATGTGTTGAGAAAAACAAGCCAGTATTCTACCCCAAGCCTCCTAAAACCTTCGCTCCTAACACTTCTTTAAATTCATGGGATCCTGTTAACTCTCAAAAAGAAGCCAACATACAAAGAAATATTGAGCGGTCCCACTGGATCAGTTCATACACTCATGATTTCACAGGTATGAGTTCACTTTAATACAAGTAAAAAGAACATATTAGATCATTGACAAATGCTGCTATAAGCTTTCATCTAATATTTCCCCCTGTTTCTTAATCTAAAGTACCAATAGAAATTCAGGTGGGTGGTAAGTTTCTCTTAGCAGGTAACCAGGAGGTAAAGTTGGTTTTCATTTTATTGTTCTAATTATATTACAAAGGGGAGTGGGTGAGTTTTTCTCTAAAAGGTCACTTACATGCCATTTTTCATTTAACAAAATAATAAGACATGATGTTTCTATTAAGGTCTGGGGCCCATGAACCCCCTTGAACTGGATGATTACCATGAAAAGGCGATAGCAGAGTTAACTGGACAGATAGGATTTGACCCACAACCTGTAAGTAATTGCAGTCAACTCTCAGTTATTTGGGGGGAAAGTATCCACATGTTGGACTCTTTCTTGCTTTGCCCACTTCTTATTTGCTTTTTGAATATTGGTGAGTAAACTAGAAAACGGACATTTTAACTCATTTTAGAAGTTAATTCTGAATTGATCTAAACTGTCTTGAATACCTCTCTCCACTCTTTTGAAGAACAAAGTAGGTTTCTTTTTTTCTTCACAGAACTGGTTGTTTTCTAAAAAAAACATTGTATACTGTTACTATTGCTAAAATTTACAATGGCATTGTTTTACAAATGCTTACCTAGTAATTTAATGAGATTCTTAAATTCTGTGAATCTTTGCATAATTGTATATCTTGTACATTATCACTGCTTTTGAAGAGATAAAGGCTTCTTTCTGATATCCACAATGATTGAGTGTTGGCTGAATTACAACCAAAAGCCAGTACATTCTCTGTAAATATCAGAGATTTCTTAATTATGTGAAGTGACCTGAAAGAAATGATCAAGCCCTTTATGATTATGTAAATAAAATAAAATGACCTAATAGTATTCATTTATTGTTTTATTTGGGGCCTAAATTTTATCCTCTAAAACTACAAAGTTTTTAAAACAAAATTAATATTTTCAAAGAGGTAAACTGTGGAAAAACACATAAAAGACAACTATAAGCTATTTCAATATGAACTCTTTTAGACTGAACTGCACACAATTTTTTATACTAGCTTCAGTATTTCCCAAAGCGATATAAAATCATTAACACCAGAGTAGTTCCATAGACTGTGCTGTGTCATTCACTTTCAACTAGCATTCTCTAAGGCTACAAAAGATGATATATAACCCTAGCTGGTTTGGCTCAGTGGAGAGAGCATCGGCCTGCAGACTGAAGGGTCCCCAGTAGGGGGTGTGCAGGAGGCAGCCGATCAATGATTCTCTCTCATCATCATTGATGTTTCTATCTCTCTCTCCCTTTCCCTTCCTCTCTGAAATCAATAAAAGCATGTAAAAAAATAAAATAAAATTTTTTAAAAAGATGATACATCTACTTTTGTTAGGTGTGTTCAGCAGCTGTCCAGACTTCCACAGAGTTTACCCTGAGGAAGCAGTTTTATCATTTTTATTTAGAAATATATGCACAGTTGTACAAAGGATGTCTGTCAAGAATATTATGTGCAAAATTATTGTACAAGTAGAACAACACCTACATTTTTATTAATAGCAAGATAAAAATGCCTAAAATAGTTGGAAGTTTCCGTGAATCTTGCTGGTTTCTAACTAAAACATAAATAACAACTCTAGGAAGGCAGGGGTTAGTGGTAATAAATATGTATATGAAATATTTTGCTGTAGTAGAATAAAATAACGGTATTAAAAACTGCTTCTTCATAAAGGGATGCTGTCAAAGTAGGATATGATACACCCTATACTTTTTATTTTTTTAATATTTTATTTTTACTGATTTCAGAAAGGAAAGGAGAGAAATAAAAAATATAACGATGAGAGATAATCATTGATCGGCTGCCTCCTGCACACCCCCTACTGGGGATTGAGCTCACAGCCGGGCATGTGCCCTTGACCAGGAATCAAACCCGGGACCCTTCAGTCCACAGGCTGCTGCTCTACCCACTAAGCCAAACCATCTAGGGCTATACTTTTTCTTTATGATAATTTTAACAAAGCATTTCAAAGAGCTAGGGGTTTTTTTCTTTTTTTTTTTTTTTTCATAGTATCTACTCAAACCTGATTAAAGGTTGTAACAGATTTGTTACAAGTAGTATGGAAATTCTTCCAACTATGAACAGAGAAGGTTCCAAAAGTATGTTCCTCAGTTCATTTTTTTCCTAAGTCCAAACTACTTTTACTATCTCACCATTCTCATTTTTATCTCTGCCGTCTCTATTCCATTATCATCATATATCCATTCTTTTTTAGTTTTTTTCTTCAATATATAAAAATGTTCAAACACACAGAAAAGTTTAAACAGTTTTACAGTTAATATGCATATGCCCATCTCCTCAATTCTACCATGAGCATTTTACTATACTTATCACAGAATCCATATTTCCATCCCTCCACCCATCCTTGTTATTTTTATGCACTTCAGAGTAAATTGAAGACAGAAGCATACTGTACCTCTCAACATTCAGTATGTATATCATTAACCACAGTTCAGTTTGTTTGCAGTGTTTTCTTTTAAGGTAAAATGTACATTCAGGCCGAAACCGGTTTGGCTTAGTGGATAGAGCGTCGGCCTGCGGACTGAAGGGTCCCAGGTTTGATTCCGGTCAAGGGCATGTATCTGGGTTGCGGGCACATCCCCAGTAGATGTGCAGGAGGCAGCTGATCGATGTTTCTCTCTCATTGATGTTTCTGACTCTTTATCTCTCTCCCTTCCTCTCTGTAAAAAATCAATAAAATATATATTTTTTTAAAAAATGTACATTCAGTGATATGCACAAATCTTAAGTGTACACTCAATGGGTTTTGACAAATGCATAACCCAAACCTCTAGCAATATATTGAAAATTACCATCATCTCAGAAAGTTCCTTCATGCCTCTTCAACTCCTCCCCTCCCTCCTCCTGCCCCCCAAAGACATATACCTATTAATCAGCTTTTCAATACACTCACTACTTTTGCAGTTACAGACATGACTGAGTTCACAATATTTATAAAACATCTCAAAAAACAGGGACAGTTATGACAAATTCCTCTCAGACCAGTGTTTCCGCAACATAGCACATCACTAACCTCAGCATCACTGAGATGTTAGTTGAAAAAGCAGATTCCTGAATCACAATCTCAGAGGATCAAGTTTAGGAATCTCGCTTTCTTCCAGCTCCAAAGCTGATTTTCAATGAACCAAGGTTTAAGCACCCTTGCCCTTGGCCTAATAAAGAAGGCTAATAACAGATTTAAATAACTTTCCATAACTTTTAACATCAACTGTTGGTGATGGGCAATTTTGTTCCAATGATTATTTTACATCTTTGAAAGTCTGAAAGCAAAGCATTTCTACATAGAGGAATTTCTGTATAGCCAAGTACAAATACACCCTTTCCATATTAATAAAAACTAGTAGAGGAGGAAAACATGTTTATTAAGACCCAAATTTCAGTATCTTTAAATATAAAAAAAGTCAAATGTGTACTCTTACACCCATCTGTGTTTACTCAGGCAGTGAAAATGGGTATGATTTTTGACTGGCCATTTATGGCAATATCCTTTACAATGCCAGGTTTATTAATTAATCACTTTTCTCCTTTTTATCCCACCACTACAGTCAGAAAAATTCCATCCTGTCTTTAAACCCCCCAGACCCTTGGATGGACGAATAGCTCGACTGATTCAGAACCAACGTCCTCTGGAGGCTGTTGTCCAGCAAAGACCACCTCCCTGTCCTGATTGCACCCCTAGAGTTTTGTGTAATTTTCATACCTTCATACCCAGTTCTTCAGAAATGATGGCACTTCGTGATAACACACTAGCAGGTATGATCCATAAACACCAGGAAATTGAAGACAAGATTAAGGAAGAACAACGTTTGTTATCTACCTTTGCAAGTCCACCTTGTTACCCAACGAAAGATATGACTAACGGTTATGACATACAACCATTTCCAAAAATTACAGATACTAAAAAGACAGAAGATTTGTACTGGAGACAGCTGCCATTAAAACCCCAACCTGCACCTCACTACCACCCCAACCAATACATTCAATATGAACATTTTAAATCTGCCTTACTTGACCAGCATACTATGTGTCAAAACCCTGTTAACCTTAGTACGCCTAGTCCTGTACAAAATAAGCCAGACTCAGAAGCTCTTGATCTAGGATGTTTTTTAAGGAAGCCAGAAGAACAGCTGACCTTCAACACAGAAAACGATGAAGAAACAAAATCTCTTCTGGGTTGGATTCCTAAAGTTGGAGGGGCCAAGACTCAGGCCAACCTGCTTGAGCTTAAGAACTCTTTTTCAAAAACTGGTGCACAAAAACGTTTCCATAAATCAATTAGAGAAGACCATAAAGACCTTAGGAATAAGGTACATTTAGGGATGAAACACCAATTCTATGACCATAATTCCTATTATTTCTACAATTGAGATATTCATCTTTCCCTTCAAAACACAGCCTCTTGCAAGAAAAGAAAATAGAATTTCTTCCTTGTTACTGGATTCTGTTTTATAGAGGAGCCATCATGAACCTTGCTAATGAGGTTTATGTTTTCAGGAATTTAAGTTTGCATCTGGTCAGAGGAACCCAGAAAAGGTGATGTTTTGACTTCTTGAAAAGTTTAACAATTTGGCAATAAAATATTAGAACCAGAAAAACTTATAGTCTTTCATCTCATTTCCAAATGATATTCCAAGTAATTTCCCAAAACAAAGTTTACATTAGTTTTTAAAAAATATCTGGGGGGATAAAACCCTCAGATGTCCAATAATGGACAGATGTCTATACAAATTATATTACCTTAATAAATAGGTGAACACTATCTCTTTATGTAAATGTTTGTACAAAATAACATTAGGTACAAAAGACAAAACTCAAATGCCCTGTCAATTGAGGGATAGACAACTCTGCAAACTACATTCCTTCATAAAGTAAGGATGCAGGCCCTGTTCTTTTTACATGTAAAACATGAACAAAATGTCAGTAGAAAAGATGAAACCCAAAATGCTCTGTATGCACACATTCTACGCAAGATGTTTCTTTTCCTTTACACATGTGGTAGAGAAACATAACCAGTTCTTGAATGCAGGGGGAAAAAATGATTCTATTGTGAAGATCTGGCAATGGCTTTATTTAATAACTGGTGAGTTCTTATTCTGATAAGAAAGGATGGTGTCTTAGTCCGTTTGGCCTGCTAGATAACAAAATACCATATACTAGGTGGCTTATAAACAAACTTATTTCTCAGTTCTAATGGCTGGAAAGTCCAAAGTCATGGTGCTGGCAGATCTGGTGTCTGGTGAGGTTCTCACTGTGTCCTCACATGGTAGAAGGGGTGAGGGTCTCTGGAGCCTCTTTTACAAGAGCACTAATCCCCTTCATGAGGGCTCTGCCTTCATGACAATCACCTCCCAAGGCCCCGTCCTCATAAATCAATTTGGGGATTAGGATGTCAACATATGAATTTTAGGGTAACGAACATTTAGACCATAACAAATGGCTTGATATTAATTAAGCCAAATCTCATCATTTTTGGAAGGTGTCCACAAGAGTTAAGCTACCCCAGATGCAGGTAAATTCATTTAATGTGCCAAGAGGTTTATTTTAGACAGTTTATCACGGAAAGTTCATAAGGAATTTCTAGGAGGCATTGCTTGAGATTTCTTTTTTGTTTTTGCTTCATAACCGACATGTCATTTGGTTACACCCTCTTTAAAATTATTCTGGGCTAATATTATGGAATATTTTCCAAAGTCTTTTCTGTAGTACTAGTTATATTAGATATTATGGAAGCAAAAAGTTACATGGTAAAATAATATTGGAGAAAACTGGGAGCAACAAAGTAAATCATGTGACTACGATAGGATTCTCCATAGACTTTAATATATAACATATCTGGGAATTCCCAAGGTGAAGGGGATAGAGTGTACACATTTCTCAAACTAATTTGACCCTTTTATCATAAAGCATATCATTGGACTAGAATACCAAAGAACAAACTTTGGAAGATGCACCTCTGCAGTATAGGAATTGGGGGTTTAGAATGCACTTGCCCTGGGTTGCAGGGCTAGACAATTGCACTCTGACTATGGGTATTCACTCCACCCATCTGTGCAGTAGTGGTGCAGCCTTCATTCAGAAGTCTGTCCTAGTCATCATCCTCAGCGCTCCTACTCCCCACTGTGGGCTGTTAAGGCTAGTGGATCTTACTTAGGCCACAGAGAATACACTCCAAATATGCTCATCACATGCTCATGAAATAGTTTCAAAAATATTTATGGAGGTTTCCAGATTAAGACAGATTGAACCAATGCATATAATTTCACTTACTTTAAAAAGTCCATGAAAACTATAGTAAACTTTTTTGTTTTTATTTTGTTTTTGTTTTAGCCTATATACTAGAGGCCTGGTGCACGAATTCATGCACAGGTGGGGTCCCTCGGCCTGGCTGGCCGTCTGGGGGAAGGGACCCCAGGTGGTTGGCCAGCCACCCCCCTCCCCACAAATCAGGGCCTATGGGGGGAGGGGAGGCCAACCAGCAGCGGGGAGGGACCACAGGAGGTTGGCGGGCTGGTGAGAGGTTCCCTGTGGAAGCACACTGACCACCAGGGGGCAGCTCCTGCGTTGAGTGCCTGCCCCTGGTGGTCAGGGCGTGTCATAGCAACTGGTCATTCCAGTCGTTTGGTTATAATGTTGCTTAGGCTTATATATATATATATAGGTAAAAGCATAGGTCAATAGGGGGAATAGGAGCTGAGATGTTAGGAACATTTGGAAAGGAGATAGATAAAAACGATGGATCCTAACTAGCTAGAGCAGTGATGGCGAACCTTTTGAGCTCGGTGTGTCAGCATTTTGAAAAACCCTAACTTAACTCTGGTGCCGTGTCACATATAGAAAGTTTTTGATATTTGCAACCATAGTAAAACAAAGATTTATATTTTTGATATTTATTTTATATGTTTAAAATGCCATTTAACAAAAATCAACCAAAAAAATGAGTTCGCCTGTCACCTCTGACACACGTGTCATAGGTTTGCCATCACTGAGCTAGAGACACTAGAGCCCTACCCTGACAGTGGAGAAAACAGCCCACTTTACACATCAGAATCCTCAAAACACTCAGGAACTCGGTACCAGGCGTGTATGAGGCAGGGTGGAGTGGGGTGGAGGGTTGCTAAATCAAGGAAGGTTGAGTGAAGGGGAAGGCACAGTTGCTACCTAGATCCTCTCCCTGCCCCACCCTGCTTCCTTCACAGTGCGAGGTAACTGCCCTCCCTCATCCTGGCAGAAGCCCTGAGGATTATTTTCTGAAGAAAGGTAAAATAGGATTTCTGGCATGCAAAACACAGGTATAGCTGAGGACTGGGTACTATTCTGAAAATTGGAAATGAGTAGTTTTATCAATAAGGGTCTCAGCAGAACAGGCCCCCAAGGCTTCCCCTGAGGGGAGTTTCGGGCAGGGACTATTTACAAAGATGTGGGTAGGGTTATGGGAACCTCAATAGTGGGGTGCCAGGAAGGAGCAATAGCAAGGTCAGCACTCCCAACCCCCCAGTGTTACAGTGCCTCCCGCTGGCAAACCCAACCAGAAGCCGAGAGCAAGGGGGCTCAGAGGACACCGTCCTTAGACACCCTTGTCCTACGGCAAAAAAAGGGTGGGAAATGGATCTAGAGAGGCGAGCAGAGAAAACCAGCACAACGATCTTATAAAGTACTGACTGCTCGGTCTAGAGGGGCAGCCCCCTCCCCCACCCACCAGGCTACCAGAACACCGACATCAACTCTCCCAGAGTGCTCCCGGCTGAGGCCCAACATGGCCACATGCTGCCTCCTTTTTTTCAGTTCTCACACCGTAAACAAAGTGTCCTTTTTGTGGTCTACTTCCTGCCACATTTTTTTTTTCATATTTTCTGTGTCTTTCCTTGGTGATTTCACTGTTTCAAATGGCCCCCAAGCGTAGTGCTGAGTTGCTGTCTAGTGTAGCCAAACACAGGAAGTCTGCGGTGTGCCTTACGCAGGGAATGCTTGTTAGATTTGCTTCATTCAGGCATAAGTTCTTGGACTTGACACCAAAATGTGTTCCATAAGAGAAAAATGCATACATTTGTCTTCATCATAATTTAATACTTTTGCTGTGCAAAAAAAAGATCCTGGTAAAAGGATGAAAAGCTATGCTATCTACCGGGAGAAAATATTTTGCAAACCACATATCTAACAAAGAACTAATTTCTAGAATACATTAACTCTAAACATTCAACAGTAAAATAATAATCCAATTAGAAAACGGACAAAAAAACATTTCACCAAAGAATATATAGAGATGGCCCATAAGCACAATAGATGTGCAATGTCATTAGCCACCAGGGAAATGCAAATTAAAACCACAAAGAGCCCTGGCAGGTGTCTGAGCGGTAGCCCATGCACCCAGGGGTTGCTGGTTCGATACCCTGTTGGGGCACATGCCCAGGGGCTCAATCCCCAGCAAGGGGGCAGCTGATGGACATTCTTTCACACGGCTGTTTCTCCCTCTCCCTTCCTCTCTCTCTCAAAAAAAAAAAAAAATCAATAAAAATATTTAATAATTTTTCTAAAAAGAAAAAGAAATTGGGTGGCCTAGAACAGAAATCATGGGCCCAGTGGTTTGGAAGGGATCCGAGGTCATTTAGTTCAACCTCCAAGCAACTGTTGCTTAACTTGGGGTCGGGAGAAAGGAGGCTCGAATTACCAATTCCTATCGGAGAAAAAGTCCCCACTGATTTCCTCTCGGTAGGTAATACGTATTCAGTAACTACGAAGAGGAAAAATCCATGAGAACTCGGGGGCTGGAGTTTTTAAAATATATTTTTATTGATTTAAGAGAGGCAGAGGGAGAGAGAGATAGAAACATCAATGATGAGAGAGAATCATTGATCAGCTGCCTCCTGCACGCCCCCCACTGGCAATGGAGCCTGCAACCCAGGCATGTGCCCCTGGCCGGAATCAAACCCGGGGCCCTTCAGTCCGCAGGCCGACGCTCTACCCACTGAGCCAAACCGGCTGGGGCTCGGGGCTGAATCTGAGGGACAAGGGCGCCCAGAAGAAACTTTCCAGGGATTCACCTGAGCACGTCGGCAGGGGAGCTGGTTGGAGGGAAAGTGCACAGCCAGCGCTCTAACATGACTGCAGCCACACTCGCTTCCTGAGCATGACCTTCACCTAGGTGACAGGTGGTGCAATCGGCCTAGATTTCAAAGAAAGTGCTCATCGTGTGACAGTGCTGCTTCCTCGAGGGAGAGAGACTGGTGTTGGCAGGTGAGGGGCCAGAGCTCCGATCCAGCCTCTGCGCGCCCGCAGTGCCCGTCCCCGCCCTGGAAGGTGACTTATAAAGTCCCAGGGCGGAGGGAGAAAGGTCAGGTGCACGTGTCCAACCGTCCTAACGCCTGACTCCAGGCTCGCTCTCCCGGTGCCGCTGGCACCAGAAGTGAAAGTCTGACCAAGTGCGTGTAAAGGTCGCCAGCTGAAGGGAAGTGGCCAGGAGACGTCTCTATCCCGGAAGGCAAAACGCCGTCCTCCTAGGCCCGACGTCAGCGAGCGCAAGAGCCGTTACCTTAGCAGGATAACGCCCACGATCCACCTCGGGGGTCCACTCCACCCTCCCCGACGGCATGCACACAAA